CCCCCCCCCCCCCCCCCCCCCAGTGCATGAAGTTGCCTCCTTGCATCAGAAAGTTCTCCTTCCTCACAGACCCCTTCCAGGTCCCTGCCAGCTGGGCCCTCCTGAGCCCAAGGTCTCTGGTCCTTTGTCAGATTAGTGAACTCCTGACAGAGCCACATATCCCATGAGAACTAGAGGATAAATACCAAGGGGAGGGTATGCACCTCTAACCATCAGATTGCCGTGGCACTCATAGACTAGGGAATTCTTTAAGGTCGAGGCTGTGACTCCTCCATCAGATGGAAATGTTTCTCCATCATCAGACTGGAGAGTTTTCCCCAAAACAGAATCCATATTGCCCCCCCCCCCCCGCCCTTCAGATGGTGTTTTTGCTGTGGCTGAGCGCCGCTTTCCCGTCTGACTGGTGTTTCACCCGCAGTGGGAAGAGGTGAGCGGCTACGATGAGAACATGAACACTATCCGCACATACCAGGTGTGCAATGTCTTTGAGTCAAGCCAGAACAACTGGCTGCGGACCAAATTCATCCGGCGCCGTGGCGCCCACCGCATCCACGTGGAGATGAAGTTCTCAGTGCGTGACTGCAGCAGCATTCCCAGCGTGCCCGGCTCCTGCAAGGAGACCTTCAACCTCTACTACTATGAGGCTGACTTTGACTTAGCCACCAAGACCTTCCCCAACTGGATGGAGAATCCATGGATGAAGGTAGACACCATTGCAGCCGATGAAAGCTTCTCCCAGGTGGACCTGGGTGGCCGCGTCATGAAAATCAACACTGAGGTGCGAAGCTTTGGTCCCGTGTCCCGCAACGGCTTCTACCTGGCCTTCCAGGACTACGGTGGCTGTATGTCCCTCATTGCTGTGCGTGTATTCTACCGGAAGTGCCCCAGAGTCATCCAGAACGGTGCCATCTTCCAGGAGACATTATCAGGGGCTGAGAGCACTTCACTGGTGGCTGCTCGGGGCAGCTGCATCCCCAATGCTGAAGAAGTGGATGTGCCCATCAAACTTTACTGTAATGGGGACGGCGAATGGCTGGTGCCCATCGGTCGCTGCATGTGCAAGGCAGGCTTCGAAGCTGTGGAGAATGGCACTGTCTGCAGAGGTAAGGGGCAGTGGGGCAGGGTCCTGCAGAGGTACGGTGATCGACTTGGCTGTGGCTGGCAAGGGTGGAGGTCTGGGGTAACACCAAGGCTTTCCGTGGCTGCCTTTCCAAGCTCCTTTAGCTAGCAATTTCTGGACAATGCTTTGTGTTCATAGAACAGGTATACATACACAGATGCCCTGAGGAGTAAGAGGACGCAGGGACCTTGTTTTAATTATGGTGTGATTACTCAGGATGGTAAATGGTGCTTTTTCCTTGTTCACTTGTGGAAGTGATGGGTTTTATGTTTAAGAAAAGGAGTATGTCCTGATGAATGACTGTTAGATGTTAGTGTCCACTGAACTTGTTCTGGCTCTGTATAGGCCAGACAAGACAGTAATGCTTATTTCTCCTCCATGCTACATGGCCATGATGGGTCAGTTTGACATGTCTTCCCCTGGGAGCTGAGTGATGGAGAAGCTACTGTTTAGAGTATTGTCATCACCATAACGGATGGAAGGGGAGAGTGTGGTGGGCTGCAGACAGGTCGAGATGCAGCTACCTGGAACAGCCCACACCTTACAGCTCTGCTCTAAGGCCAGAGTACGTCCATGGTCACTTGCAGTTCAGAGATGGGGACAAGCACTGGCCAACCAGGCCTCACTGTGAGCTATTTTTGCCACGTGTCAAACATGTCTAGGACACAACTCACATGAAATAGTCGAGGGAAAGGTACTGTTTTCCGAGAAGGAAACTGAGGCTCAGGAAGGTCACACATTATCAGAAGATGAGACTCTCACTCAGGGAATATGGCTCCAAAGCCCGTCCTTGAAACTACTGGGAGTGGCTATTTCATCTAGGGAAGCTTGGCCATGAACAGCAGTACGGACGATGCTTACGTAGGACAAAGAATCATGAAGGTGATTTGGAAGCATAAGAAGGTTGCGGGAGGTACCAAAGGTTGGCAAGAAAGCTGCAAAGGCAGTTAAAACCTGCTTCCAGTTGCAGCCCTGCCCCTTATCAGCCCTATGGCCTTGGCCAAGTGCAAAGACATCTTTCATAGGGTGGTGTGGAGAGTCAAGAACTTAAGACATATGAAATGCTTATCATTGATTCTGACATGGGTGGTCCACTAAATGTGATGGTGTGTGCAAAGCTGGCTGAGCTGTGCTCAGTGGTTGCTATACAGGGGACTGGAGCCTACTGTGTCATTTCCTTTTGTATTTCCCCCTGGAATATGAGGTTGGGTTGGGGTGCTGGGATGTCCCAAATGCCAGGCTGAGAGTATAGACTGTGTAAAGCTAGAGAATGTTTTCCTGGGAATGGAAGTAGGAGCCTCTGATGAAATCCACCCTTTCTAAGCATCTTCTCCAGCCTCTTGACATCAGCAGGCAGTCGTCCCCCCCTCCTTATTTTTTTGTTTTTGTTTTGAGACAGGGTTTCTCTGTGTAGCCCTAACTATCCTGGAACTCACTCTGTAAACCAGGCTGGCCTCGAACTCAGAGATCCCCCTGCCTCTGCCTCCCGAGTGCTGGGATTAAAGACATGCGCCACCATGCCTAGTTAGGTCGTGTTCTCTTGCTCCTGAAGGGGTGGGTAGGATGGAGGCAAGGTTTCCTAGGGAAGCAGCCACAGCAGTCTCAGATATGGCTGCTGTGTGTGCTGGGGTGTCACAGTGCTAGGGGACAAAGACTGTACCTGATGTGTGCTTCCCCAAGACAGTGATGAGAGATATAAAGACAGATCAAAGGAAGGGGTCAAGGCTACCTGGAAACTTCCTCTTCCCAGGAAAAGAAATGGGGAAGTTGGGGAGAAGGACCATTTTTTCACGGAAGGCAACACATTCTGTTGCAGTTCTTTTTCGTTATGTGTATGTGTGTTTTGCCTGCATGTCTTTCTGTGCACTGCATGTGTGCCTGGTGTCCACAGAAGCCACCAGGGGGCATCAGATCCTCTAGAATTAGAGTTAGAGTTGCAAACAGCCATGTGGGTGCTAGGAACTGAAACCAGGTCCTCTGCCAGAGCAGCCAGTGCTCTTTACCACGGAGTCATCTCTCCAGCCCCCTGTTGTATTATTTTTTATTTTATTTGTATTTGTTTATTTTTAAGGTACTAAAGTTGAGCCAGGGCCTCAGGTATGCTAGTCAAGCCCTCTGCCTTGGAGCTATATCCTGAGCCCACAGGTCTGGTTTTACATCCTTGGAAAGAATGCAGCCTTGGAAGATGTCGGCCGAGATGGGGGGAGGGATGCAGAATCTGCAGAGCAGAGACCAACTGCTCATGATGGTTGTTTATTCGTTCATCAAACTCTCCCAGAGCCTGTGTTGTATCAGACCTTGAGCTGAGCCTCAGGTGATACCAGGGGATGCAGCTTCAACCCCACCCTCTGGGGCTCACAATTCTCGGAGGGAACAGATCTGTTACAAACAAAGGCTGGAGACAGAAGCCCGGCACTTGGTTTCATTGGAACAGCTTATTCTGCTGCACAGCTGGGTATAGGAAGGTACCGGCAATGGCAGGAGGTGTCTCAGAGGCAGTGACATCTGAGCTGAGTCTGGAGAGAGAGATGTGTTGGTTAGGGGACCCAGAACTTCCGAAGGGTGGATCTGCATGGATAAAGGCCTAAGAGCATAAATCAACTGGTCCTGTCACAGGACTGGCTGATCTAGCCAGGACTGAAGGGTCCAGGGGGCATATGGGAGGAACTGTCATCTGAGGATGTGCAGCCAAGGAAATATCTTCATTTATCTATTGCCGCTGAGCAGAATCTCCCAGCACTTAGCAGGTTACAGCCAGTGGTGATCACTAAGTAGTTTCTGAGGGACAGAAGTGGTCCAGCTGTGGCCTCTGGCTGCCGCCATCTAGGGCTTCAGTGTCATCCTGAAGTACCCAGGGAGGGGTCTTCTTCCTTGATCCTTCCCGAGGTTGTCACTCAGCCTATCTGGAGGACTATCTAGGTCCTATACCTAGAGAGAGGACCCAAGACAAAGCTAATGTGTGTGTGTGTGTGTGTGTGTGTGTGTGTGTGTGTGTGTGTGTGTGTGTGTGTGTGTACACCGATTCACATGTGTTATGCATGAGTGCCTAGAGGACAACTTCATGTATTATCCTCAGAAACACCCACTTCCTTTAAGACAGGGTCTCTCACTGGCCTGGAGCTGGCGAATTAGGTTAGACTGTTGAGTCAGTGAGTGCCAGGGATTCTCCTGTCTCTACCTTCCTGCACTGGAATTACAAGTTTGCACCACCAAGCCTAGAATTTTTACACAGGTTCTGGGAATTGCACTCTGATCTTCATGGTTGCAGGGCAAACACTTGACCAACTGAGCCATGTTCCCGCCCCCCAAGGTCAGCATCTCTATGACTCAGTCTTAGACGTACCATCCCATCATCTTTGCCATATTCATTCAAAGTGAGTCTCTGAAATCAGCCTATAGTCTAGAGGAAACCCAGAAACCCAGATTTTAAAGGTCTGGAACAGGCTCATATTAGAGCACGTGGCCAGCTAGGCATGGTGGCCCATGACTTTAATCCCAGCACTGAGGAGGCAGAGGTAGGTGGATCTCTGTGAGTTCATGGCCAGCTTAGTCTACATAGTAATGTCTAGGACAGCCATGGCTATATAGAGAGACCTTATCTCAAAACAAAATAAAACAAAAAATAGAGCATGTGGCCAAAGGCAGGTTCCTGGGATCAAGGTCAAAGTCATAGATAGCTTTCCTTTCAAGCGGTGGAAGTGCAGATGAGGGCATGTCCAACCCAGCCCTGGCGGCTGCCTTCTACTGGGAATCAACAGGACACCCAGGACCCAGTCCTGGCCTAGCACAGCCTAGGGGTCAACCGGGATATGGCTATCAATCACAGGCGCCTAACTGCTGTGTAGCCTGGGAAAGGCACCCAACTGCGGCAGCACAGTAGGGTGCCCACCGTGAGTCACAGTGGAGTGATGGGCCAGTGTTCCCTCATTCTTTACTTTAAGGGTTGTTGGCTTTTTTCTTGTGGACCAGACCCCGCTGGCTTGTTGTTGAGAACACAGGGTCTAGACATGGCTCCAATCTCTCCCCAGGCCTGGTCACGTGGCTCTGAGGCGAGCAGCCTTGATGATGCTGTCCTAAGACTATTAGCTCAGACAACTAGGGAGCTAGCACAGCTTGACCAGAGCATACTGGGGCTGCTGAAGGCTGGGGAGATGAGCACAAACCTAGCCCTACCTCCACCCCAAGAGCTCCAACCTAAGGATGGGAGAAGATCAGAGGGCTCAGAAAAGATCCTCCAATCAGCCGAACATGATCTGATGGGGGGAAAACTCTCCCTTTTTTTCTTAATATGGATTTGAAGGGATAAGGCTGGATGCTGTCCCTGGCAGGTAGGCAGTAGGTGGGTTCTCATGAGGTGTGGCCGCTGCCCCAATGTGTAGATGGTACCCAACAAAGGGAATCTAACACTCTATGTAGTAAGCGACTTGTAAAACTAAGGGATAAATGGGTTCTCTGATCCACTTTCTCTGGAGCCTCTTGTATGCAGAGCATAGTGGGGAAGCCAGCCATTCTACCATCAGGCATTGAGTGCTCTCAGTATACCATAGAGCCAGCCCTCCAGCAAACAGAGGCGGCTTGAGTGCCTCCTGTGGGTCCTGTGCAGAAGTGAGCCACCAGATCTCAACAGTGTTTAGACCCCTGCCACATTTAGTCTGCATAGGTAGATGGGAGAAGAGCCAAGGGAGAGGTTAATGAATAAACTAGTCACAGTCTGGAATGAGGGCAGAGGAGATCCCAGATGACGGCAGAGATCCACGAAGTCCCTGCCTCCCAGAAGGAAGGCTTCTTGGAAAAGATGTCATTTGAGTGGCCAGAGGTCTTCCCAAGAGGACCCAGGAAGACCATCCCAAATTGAGGATACCAGAGAAACCCCACTGGCAGTGACTGGGGGCTGGGGATGAGGCTCAGTTGGTAGGGTACTTAGTGTGCACCAAGTCCTGGCTTGGGTTCCCAGCACTGATCATGAGGGACACACCTGGGATT